TAGTGAGATCAGCATCTAAGCTACACTAACATACTCCAGGATCAGGACCAAGGCTGCCTGAAAATCTTGTGGCTGCATCTAAGTCCTGTACTCCCAACTCCTGTGACAAATGGATCTTGACATAACAGGAGCCTGAACTGTAGATCTTTTTGCAATCTACTGAGAACGGGGGCTGGAGAATCTTACAAGTCCTTGCTTATGTCCATAAACACTTGTTTTTCCTACCTCCCTGCTCCTCTTTCCAAGTTCTCAGTTCCCTTATCTTCTTCACAATGAGACTGAAAAGAGAGGTTTCCAGAGAGGACGATGTATGCATAATGTAATTTAATTATAAGACCCTATAAACAGGTATCTTGAGTTTTGAGACAAACTGTGATATTAAGTGAGGAGAGACATGTCTCCAATCAGGCCCTGTACATTATTAATGCTCTTACTACAATGCTCTCTGATTTTTTGTTTTGTTTTGTTTTGTAGTGGTATTATGTGGCTGGCTATAGAATTAGGGAGAAAAAAACACCTGCAAGTTATCAAGTGCAAGTAGGACAAGTTGATAAACTACCTTACCAATTAAATATCATACGTAGACTCACATGTACCCAGATAGTTCAGTGCTACTTGTCTATAAGAGAGTGAATGAAATTCTGGCACATTTGTAGGTTGATCATACACAGAGTCTGGGGGCAGCTCTTATTTTCATTCCAGTTTTAGGCAAAATATCTATTCTTACTATGGCTTGAATGCAAACCAGGGAGTAGCACAACTGAATCTACATGCAATCTTCGTCCAGTTACTTATTCTTAAGTAACGTGCATCCAATTGAGCAACAATAAAAAAAAAGAACCACATATGTACTTTTACCAAACATACTAAGAGGATTTAGAAATTTTCAATAAACAAATGGGATGAGACAGATGGATATGAGAAACTTTGAGTTCACAAGATTTACTCATGACAAAAATCAGAGTTGCCTCGGGGAGAGATTTATGAAACAAGGTATTTTAATGGGAATTCTTTTTAGTAATAACAAAAACAAAACTTCTTGTAGCTAGATCTAGCATTTGTTTATGCTGTTGGTTCACTGCATAAAAGAAAAAGAGAGAGATGGAGCAGATGGAAAAAAAGGGAAGGAAAGAAAGGAAAAATCCATGTGGAGCTAAGACTATATTTATTGTTTTAAACTTTGCACTCACAACTTGATCACCATCACACAGAGAACTCTATATATAATAGATGCTTTCTGAACAGAACCTACAACCTAATAACATAGTAGAGCTCATTACACTGTTCATTGAAACACAAGTCATTGGGATAAAAAGAAACTTTAAGAACATGTTATTTCCTCACTGTTTAACAGTTGTTTTATTAAAGGCTTTCTTTGCATCTTGGAAATTAAATTTCTTTTTGTTATTTCTCCAGATGCAGCCTTAAATAGCTACAAAAAGGAGGTGGAGGTGGTGGGGATCAGTTTAACCTGCAATAGTTTTAAGCTAATTTTTTCCCCATATTTAGGACATGATCCAAAGCCCACAGAAGTCAATGAAAAGAATCGGAAAGAAATATTGTCTGGGCCAGATCTCTTTCCATTCATGGACATACGCGAAATGTTTGTGTTTGAGATTTATGGGATGAAATCCTGACTTCTCCTGAAGTCAATGTGAGTTTTGCGAGTATTGACTTCAATAAGGACAGGATGTCATCTCTGTTCGCCCCATATTTGCTTTCCCTGGTGAGCTGCCCAAATCTGACTGCTACAAAGCCAAGAGACCCCATTTTTCTAACATGTCACTTCTGCAATGAACCTGAAAGCATCTTTTTGGTCCCTCTTCCATAAAGGTGGCCCAATTTATAATATATTTATTACATGGACTCCCTCCCTTGCCCTACACAAAATGTGCTCGATATGATACTTCTAATCTGTGAGACTGAGCAACGGGAAGTCAAAAGAAAGTAAGAATGGGACTTCACTGAAATGTCTATCTGGCAACCTGAGAAATGACAGAGCTAATAGTGGACCTTTGAAAACAAGTGACCATAGGAAATTAAGGTTGGCAGGGATTTAACCCTTCATGAATCACTTTGGAAATTTTAAAGCCAAATGCCTGCATGTTTTAACTATGTTTGACATCTAATTAGTCAGAAAAAAACAAGAAGCTAAAATAAATCCCTATTGTTCTTTAGAAACAAAACAGTGACAACTGGCTACAAGGCATTTGCTTAGGCAAAAATCAAGTGTACATTCAAAAACAAAAACACAATGACTGTGAGTAAAACAACAGAAGAAAAATTGTTTGACACATTCTTTTTTACCCTGCATGTTCTCATTCATTTCACAGTTTATTTTATTAAACTGCCTGGCTCTCTATGCAGAAATAGAACTGCTAGGTAATTGGAGGAGTGGGGTGTTATTTTTCCTAATTGCTAGTAGTTTTAATACCCATTAGACCCACTGGTAAGAAAATGGCCTATGGTATCTTCACATGAGATCCACATTGATATGTAATATATTCTTTCATTGCCCACAAACTATATTTTCACTAGGCACAGCTCTTAAAGCAGCATACTCACAAAGCACTGCGCCTATTTATCCACACGGCATTTTATCAGAAGGATAATTAGCCATCTGAAAAACACCAGCTGATAAGTCTTACTTTTCTCTATTTTATAATAACTAGAAACGTATGAGTCCATCCTGCAACATGCTGAACACTTTGGCCTCGCTCCAGCAGAACTCTTAAGCATGTGTTCAACTGTAAGCATGTTAGTAGACCCAAGCAGTCAGTAGGACTACCCAAAGGTTTAAAGTTAAGCACATGCGTAAGTGTTTTGGTAGACTGGCCTAATGTGCTCAGCACCTTGCAGGATAGAGCTCTTATTTCGCACATGCTTAAAATTAAGCAGGCCCTTAAGTGTTTTGCAGGATTGGAGCTAGAGTACTCATTGTCTTGCGGTCATTTCATTTTTACTGCTTGTTCAGTCAATTACACAAACAGCACCAAGGAGTCTATCAGTTTCCTGAGTTACTATTGTGAAAAACTTTGCCCTAGAAGCTGGTGTTTATTAAATAAAAAACTGTGAGAATTAGATTCTTGTTCCCAACAGAAGCAGAAGTTAAAAACAGCCAGCCAGCAGAATAATCAAGTGTTGCAAAGCTGGTTATATGTTTGGATATCGTATCAATGTATACAAACTATGGGCCAGATTCTGCCACCCTTCCTCAAACCAAAGTATCACTTTATTACGCAGCTAGTCCCACTGATTTCAATGAGAAGATTCAGCATTAGTATGAGTGGCAGAATTGAGCCCTCAATAAACTTTAATGGGGTGAAAAATAGCAAACAATTATTAATTAGCCATTAAACACTTTAATGGTTCACTTTTAAGCAACACTTGAAGTTAAACTCCTATATAATAATTTAATTGAGTTTTACAGTAGGCTCATTAAAGTTTGGAAGTTAGATCACAAACAGTGAAAGTGGTATTTAAAGAGTTTTATAACATGGCACATGCATGAGGTTGTCTCTCAGATTAAATTATTTAAAATAACCAATTTGTATTTATTAAATATAAAATATTTTTCTCACAAAGTGACACATTTTGAGAACCATGTAGCGTCCTTTTCATATATAAAGTGGTGCTTACACACACGCACGTTCTTTTTAAAATATGCACATTCATTTATTTCACAATGAAGTCAAAACACATCCAAGTTTTATAGGTGTTTAATTTTCTGATTTAAAGTGTGAAAATGACGACTGTCTGGAATCACTTAGGTGTTTCTTTCTTCACACTTGTGCCACCAGAAAGACAGATTTTGCCTGTTATGCAAAAAGTAGAGAACATACTTCTCCTGGCATAAGATATATAGACTATACAGCAGACAGAGATTGACATCTATGACCAGAAACACACATGTTCACTTTTTTGCATTGTAGAAATGGTACATTTCTCCCCTCCACACACACACACACACACACACACACACACACACATTTTGAACTCAAGCTACTTTCCCCCATCTCCCCACCATAAATCATCTGGGATTATAAGAAGTCAACTTTTAGGGGTGGAAACCTCTTTTAGTAATAATAATAGCTAGCTCTTACAGTTTAATTTTCTATCCCATTTGTATACTGTCCAGCTTTTTATTTTTTCTCTCTACAATGTACATATATAGAATCTTTAATGAAATGTCCTGCAATGATAAGGGAGAGGGTATGCCTGGTTCTTCAGAGTCCTGACTTTTAATAATAGCAATAATTTTACTAAAGTTAATTACTGACAATGCATTGTGTCTAATGCTATGCCAATTTCCAAAGGTAAGTGTAATATCATGGTTATCTTCCCTAAATAACACATTCTCTCTAATGATTACTGAAATATACTTAAAGTACATATGATACAATTTCATTTAAGAAAAAAAATTGCATTGCATTGAAGATCCACATACAATATTTCTAGTACATTATTCCTTTTTCTGGAGCTGATCTGTTCCTTTCAGTTTATACTTTCTTGGCAAACCCACCATCTACTGCTTATGTGAGGCATCTGATTGTCAGATCTGTACAAACTGAATATTCATGACTGAGATTTAACCACTTCATGCATAAAAAAACCCAACATAAATCTCCCTCTATTCCATCATGTTTGAACTAGATAAATACTCTGTTGTAGCTGTACAACATGCCCAGAGCAGCACAAAGATTAATTGGGTGGTCAAATATGTCTAATCATTTTTAAAGAGTAAAGTCCTATGAAATAATATAATGTTCTTACAAAAATCAGCATATTCTAGAATCGTTGTCTGCAAATGTAACTAACTCTTCTTTGTCTGCATTTAAACTGAGTAGTATTGAACATAAGATGGGTTTTTAAGTGTTTGAAAATATTTTCTATAACACAAATCTCCATTTTTTTAGTTATAAGGAAAAGCAGGAAAAATAGGAACAGATCCTAGGAAAAGAGAGAGAGAGAGAGGAAATAAAAGATAACAACAGACTTACCTTTATAGGATAATTTGAGTCTTGGCACGTTATTCTTCACATGCTGGCAGTTCACTCTTTCTGCTAGTAATACTCCCAAGAAAAGCAATGCAATCCTATTCAGCCAGCTCATGCTGCAGACGATACTGTAGGGTCCTTGTATATTGGAGTCTCGGTGCCCTCGGTCCTGTAGGGTACAGCCGCAGAACTTCAACCAATCTAGAAACTGGAGGTAACAGGTGATTGAGGTCAGTTTCATTCATAAACGCAGAACAATCAAGACCTCATGGCCATGCTATAGAACATCTCTCCTTCTTCTGCCACAGTCGGTGGAGCAGGGAAAACTTCAAGCCCCTTCCAATACACGGGCACAAAAATTGAGCCAGACAGTGGATAATGAGGCACAACTGTTGTGGGGAAGGGGGGAAAAAATAACAAGGGCTGTAGCAGTGGCGCTTAAGGAGCTGTGCCTTTTATCTACGCTCCTCTGATAGCCAGTGCCACGAGCTAATCCTGCTCCCTGCTTCAGTGCAAGCAACTGAATGAAAGGAAAACAGAGAGGCACAGCGAGCAGCACTGACTTTCCCTGTGCACATGTAGCGGGAGATGACACAGGATCCCGCAGACAGGTTTTTCCCAACACGCTCTTACACTAGCTGACAATGGGAGAAGAGAAAAGCACAACCCACTCCCCTTCCCCTGCTGTCACACAACACATGCAAAAAACATCTAGGCAGAGATTAGAGGAGGGAAGAGAAACCTCCACCAAGCTCGTGAAAGGCACGGAGCTATAAATTCACCTCCAAAGGCACGAGCGATTTTATAGCCAGTTGGGGGATTAGATTTGATTTGATTTTACTATTTTGAATAAAAAAACACCCCCTGCAAAAAATAAACCCTGAATAGTGCCACCCACATAAATAACATCTCCTGCCCATAGTGTAATCCTGTGTGACTTGCTCTCAGTGAACAAGTAAGGGAGACTTCCATCAACATAACTTTACCACTGAAGCTTTTAAAGCCTTGTTAGGAAAAGTTCCTTTACCCTCCCCCCCATCCCAATCCAGCAAAAGAAATTCCTAGTAAAGCTCACTTCAACAGTCAGTTCAAGACATGTATAGGTCCAGCGGGGCTTGTAAATTATACTGGGGGATTCTCCAAAGGATTCTTATAAATGTAAGATGTCCACAACCTTCCAATTGCTTGGACACTCTGGTATTATTTTATGTGTGTTTTTGTTTGTTTGGTTTTTTTTAATAATTGGGTGAAACTCATTAATGAAGTTGGGTTTTTTTCCTCTGATCATAAAGGGTGAAGGAAGACTGCAGGAAGACCCCAATGTCTGCTAAGTGTTAAGGAAAACTTTAAATACAAACATAAACCTGCCCCCCCACACACACACACTCACTCTCCTTCTTCAGTGCTTGAAGGATTACCAGAGTCTTCCAGCCATGCAGAATCGTCAAACATTCAAGTAAGCATAGGAAGTCAACCTTTACTAAAATAAGCATGTTGTCCAAGCAGTTTAGTATTTCCATCTATTTTGTTTTAAACTTTTCCAGAATGAAAAGATTGACAGATATTTTAGGACAGTAGAAGCTAAGGGTCAAATTATGACTCTCTTACTCACATTGGTGAATAACTAATCATATAAATAGTGTCAGTAAAGTCAATGTAAAAGCATCATAATCTGGCCCCAATAGAATACAACATCAGTTTTCTACACCTATACGCAAGTACAAATTCACTCTTTAGGATATAAGGTTTACTCTATTCTGAGGTTCAAACGGAAGTACATATTTGAAAAACTGCAGATGGTTTTTATTCTAATTAAAAACTTAAACACTTTAAAAAAAAGGGGTGGGGGGGCTTAATACTGTTGTAAACTAGACCTAAACATTCTGTCAACACTGGTTTCATTGCTTAACATTTGCCAAAGGGAAAAAACGTTTTTTTTCCATCCCTCTTTAACAAATTCTTCTTCCTCCCGAGTTTAATTCCTTAATCCAAGGGCATTGTATCTGCCAGATTCAGCAATTCTACTGATCAGCGGCATTGTAAAGAAAATAAAATCCAAAAAATAATGTTGATTTTGGTCATTCCCACACTTGTTATCCTGAGCATTTTCATGCTCCGGGCAGTGGATTAAAGCTCCAAAATGACAAGAGACGCCTGTCTGTTTTCCATGGATTACTTACTACAGACATTCACTCTGCAGAGGAATTCATGTCACTTTGAGATTATTTGGAGAATTGGCCTAATGAATTATCCTTTTGTGTAAAGCAAACAATAAGAAACAAAACACAAAAGATGCACCATATTCAGGACTTTATAAAAGCACATCATTTTACAATGATGTTGTTACACTCAATTTACTGCTAGTTGGATAAAAGAGATCTAGCTCCTTTTTTTCTCATAAGTATAAAAGAATAAGTAGCTAAAAATGAATCTTTATATATAAGATATATATATAGAGAGAGAGAGAAAGAGAGAGAGAGAGAGAGAGAATCACTCTAGGCTATTTTCCAGGAAATGAAATAAATAAATCATTGTTTCTGACCAATATTGCACAAAAAATATGGATTGCATACCATGAGTAGTAAAGCTATTTAAGTCTTCATTTTGAGAAAGAAAACATAGACATGAGCCACAAGGGTATGAGAAACTTTCTCTCTTTTTGCCCCCCATGCAGGGGCCACTCACAATCACAGTCCCGATGCTTTCCAAAGGGACATGACAACTGAGATAGCAGGGTTTCGCTGTCCTTAAGAGTCAGATTTACAACCCCAAAAAGTGAGATTCAAGGCCAAAGAGTGGTGTGGTAGGTCATTGCTTAAAAAAGGGACTCTCATCTTTGGTCCTTGGCGACATCCAATAGTCCAGGTTTTTAATCCAACCAGCACTTAATCATTTGTTTAAAAATGTACACTGCTTAATATTGCATATGAAACACTTAAATGTCCTAATTCATATTGAAGTCTAAGGCTCATGAGAATTCTATATGCAATGCAAACCATTGGATTGTAATAAAAAATAATTATTTGCTGGTTGGAACAAAAACCTGGATGATTGGAGAACCCTGAGGACATGAATTTGTCCAGTGTGATTTAAATTTTGAACTGTATTTTGCAGAACCCGAAAACTTTCGATCAAGTCCTGCTCAGTTTTGGGTGAACTCATATTTTTTTGAACATCAAGTATTCACACACACACACACACACACACACACACACACACACACACACACCCTTCTCCCCCCACATAGTCTCCTTTCTCCTTTTGCACATGTATAGAACATGGGCCTGTTGTCTCCATGGTTACCACAGTACACAAATTTGGAAAGCCACTCTCCAAGCTGTAAGCCCTCTTCCTGAGGTCTCTTTCAGTGCCTGAGTAAAAATAATTTACACCTGTATATATTTACTCAAAATGAGTGAGATAAGCCTAGGAATGTGTGTGTGGGTGAGACAGCAAGCTAATGAGTGAGTCTCACACCCAGTGAGTGAGATTTGACATGTCTGTGCCAACCCAAGAAGATGGGAAGAAATAGAAGGTGAGCCCACGGTCCTGCCCCCTGCTCAGCGCCAATAAGCAATGCTGGCCACTCAATCAATAGAGTAGATGCTGCTCACCTCCTCTAAAGAGGAGGGCAATGGCTACACTTCCCCAGTTTTCAGGAGACTTTGTCTCTCAAAGAAGCCCAATGCCATATGTTGCTTCTGCTGGCACAGGGTGACTCTACACAGTCTCCCACAAAGGACTTTGCTTAGTAGGCACAAGCTGACCTAGTCTTTTAAAGCAAGTCCCAGCAATGCAAAGTCTTGTAATTCAGGGTGTTCAACAACTTACTTTCAAATTACAATTGATTCTTCTTTCCCCCCTGGTCAACATATCCATTTGCAAACAATCCTAATTGACTGTCTTATAGATGGCGAGACCAGTTCAGAGAAAGTAAAATCCAGTTCAGATCTTCACCCATTCCTGAGTCAAATGAATTCTTCTCCCAATGAAGTAAAGGAGAATTTTGTCATTGACTTTAAGGATTATGACATTGCTATTGGATGTGCTGTATAACAGCTCCAGTTCAAGAAAAACAACATTTCTTATACATTCTGTTTCCTGTACTTGTTCCAGATTTTACACTTATCTGCCTTATCTTCCATAGTAACATGCATGCCTGGCTAGAATATGGCATCTCAAGCTCTGTGGTTATACTTCTCAAAAGCCAGATAGGCATAGTGGGTTCTGTTTAGCATTTCTGGCCTCCTGCTGTGTGGCATTATGAATCAATGTTCTTTATACAGCCTCTCTCCATATGCAGTAATTTCACCTCGATAGTCCCTATAAAAGTTTATGCTTGGAAGTGTCTGGGCTTTTCCCATTGGCTATCCATCTAGAATTACCCTCTCAAGCTTTTGTAAATTGGGGTCATTTTGTGTTTCTCATTTGTCAAATGTTCTTACAGAAATGAGTATTACTTAAGTCACATTTATTTCAAACTCCTCTTGCTGCTGCTCCTTGCTTTTAGTACTTACAGGAGCTCCTGAAGGCTGTGCTGCTATACAAAGCTCTTTCTCAGCTCTGTATTTCACATTTTCAAATGCACTTTTGCATTGTCATGATCATTTTCTGCTACTTAGGTGCTACTTTACTTAGCTATGTTGACATTCCTATGAATCTCTGTAAGTCCTACTTCTTTTGGGGGGTCCTTACCCAGTTGTCTCCACCTTTCCTTCTCATTAGTCACTGAGAACTTGTCCTCTATAATTAATTTTGCTCAGCTTGATCTGGCATTTTTTCCTAATTTGATTAAAAGTTCTATACTTTGGCAAAGATAAGACATCTACTTTGATTGGAAGCTTGAAGATTTTTGTGGTTGTTTTCTGCTTTAAAGGGTATTCTCTAGTTCAAACAAATTAATGTGCTGAAGTTTTACTATGTCACACAGGAGGTCAGCCTAGATGATCATAGCGGTTCCTTCTGGCCTTATAATCAATGAATCTAAACTGCAGAATTTTATGCTGTCATCCCTTGTAGTGTTGATCATTGTCACCCTAAATCAACAACTACTTCCATCCAGATCCTAAAAGGATCTAAGTCTCAATGCTGTGGTACATTTTAAGTACCCAGGCAATCAAAAAGAGACATTATTCATACATATACAGTATAATTCCAGTTCTCTGAATTCCCTTTATCCAAAAATCCTAGTTAATCAAATCCACAGTGTGTCCCCCATGTAGCCCTGTGCTACTTACACTACACTTCTGTGTTTCTGAGTTTCCAGTTATCTGAAACTTTCGGATGTCCCCCAGATAATTTGGATAAATAGGTGCATACTATATCTACACAAAAGGGAGCTGAAAGGGTAAAGTTGCACTTTAGCAGGCTGGACTTGCCAAAATCCTTGGCTTGCATCCAAATTTGAAAACACTCT